ATTGACATCTTTTCAAGAAGTTTTCATAATGTTTAGCCTCTTACTCTATCTAACAAGATCTTTTACCAGGACTAAGAGTAGAAAGCCATTGTAGGAACTCTTAAACACAGCACTGAGCGTTTGAGCAAATTAGCACTATACAGACAGTATATCTAAAGCTGATGGGAATGTCATCAAATGAAAGTTTTATTACAGTTGATCCTGAAGTGGACATGAATGTGTGTCCCTAATTTCAACCCCTCAAAACCACCACTACGACCCTCATGAAGGTGCTAGATCATAAAAATCATTAAGATTCATCATCTGGGGAACATGAATGTCTGTAAAAAACTTTATATCAATCCATCCAGGAGACGTTGAGATGTTTCACAGGACAAGTGAAAACTTTGACCTGCTGGTGCCGCCAGAAGAAAAGTCCCCAAAGTCATTAGGATACATCCTCTGGGGACCTTGACTATCTGTTACCCATCTGAAATCCATCTAATAGTTATTGAGATGTTGGTCAATGGGCCGAAAAACTGTCATCCACAGACCCTTTCTGCTAGCATGACTATAAATATACTTACTCACCCACTCGATACACAGGCCACTGTCACTATTACATTGACTGCTGCTGCTGGTTCAACCAGAGTCTCACTGATGTTTGCTTTGCTTTGTTTCTCTGTGAGCAGAGTCTGTTTCCTGTCATCATGGGCTCTGAGGTCCCAAAGGAGAAGATGGACGCTGCGGTCGAGGACCTGAAGCAGTCACTCGACCTGCTGGAGGAGAAATTCCTGCAGAACAAACCGTTCATCATTGGAGACAAAATCTCTCTGGCTGATCTGGTGGCTATAGTTGAGATCATGCAGGTAATGCTACTATTTCCATGTCTACTACTGCTACTGGTGAGTAAATGTAAGTAAAAACTTTATATTGCACTTGTCAGAGTCTGGGTTACCTGGTGCAGCAACTACTACAACTACTACTGCTGCAGGAAACTAGTTGTACAGCTGCGACAGTGTGTACATGTTTAGCTTTAGGTAGCTACTGTGATGTAACCAGTTCAACACAGGCTAGCCTTAAGAGGGCACCAGTTGTACACATGAAGTTCAGTTTCATTTGTGGCTCTGGAGGGAGTTTTCCAAGTCTGAGTTGGATTATGGGAGCTGTAGGATGCAGCATATTTGGGATTTGACCCATGCTAAAGACCCATACCAGAGAATACGTGATAGGACAGAGATAATAATTAAAGGTGTCCAAATATCTTATTCTCTGTAGGTTTAGGTCTGGCATTTTGTTTTCACATTTGGTCATTTGGTACCAACTGTAGCTGCTGCACTGGAACTGAGAAACAAGCTGCATCCCTGCGCGGCTGCCTGCTGCTTATCAAACTGACGTAACCTTATTTTTCATGATTTACTTTAAACCCTGTGTTACATGTCTGAGCTTTCATGTTCCTTCCTGCTCCCAAAGAGCCTCAGATGCTTCACTCCATGTTGCTTCTATCTGATGAGATCAAGGCTCCAAACTCTTCTATTAAATCACTTTCCAAAAACTCACCTTTTCAAAACAGGTTTTTATTGATTTATTGATTTATTTTTTAATGTTCTAAACTTAAACTAAGTTTTATCTGGTGTGTTTTTATGTTTTGATTTGACAAACTGTGCAGCACTTTGTAAATGCTTTTGTGCTTTAAATAAAATGTATTACTATTACTATTATTATTATTATTATTAAAACGCAGGATATCTCAGCCTCTGCTGCTTTTATTTAGATTTTTTTAAGTTTTAATCTGTCTCTAAACTTTAAGGAAGTACAGGACTAAATCACAGGAAAGCCTCTTTAACCAAAATAACTAAAATGATTTTGCTAACCCCAACGTTAGCCATGGTGCGATGGGTACGACCCAGAATCAATATCACTGAGGGAACTGAAAAATCTATCTGTCAAATATAAATTTATTTGTCTTAGAAAATACTGAGGATTCTGTTCCACAAGAGATCCCGACTCCAACTCTTCTCATGTATTTTAATGTAATTCCATGTAATTGCAGTATTCTGTTTCTAAGAACACGTGTGTTTCGCAGCCTGTTGGAGCCGGTGTGGACGCGTTTGAAGGCCGGCCGAAGCTCCTCACCTGGAGAGCACGAGTGACGAAGGAGTTTGGCGAGAAGCTGTTTGACGAAGCTCACAAGACGATCATGAACGTGAGCAGCCTGCCGCAGATGATGCAGAACAACACGGAGCTGGAGATGCTCAAACCAAAGTTTCAGAAGCTTTTCAAGTGAGGACGTTTGTGTGCACAAACAGAGATAACACGACTGTCACTGACGTCAAACTTCGTTGTGAATTGTTTTTCATCATGTGGTTGTATGGTGACTTTTATCCTCTTCACGTTTGTTATAAAATCATGTAACCAGCTTCCAGGTATTAAAAGCTGTTAAAGCTGCAGTTGTGAGCTCGCATTGTGAATAAATTCTTTAATTTGTTTTTCTAATTTGGGTAAAGACTCAGCTGACAGTCGTGCTGTTAAATCTCTTCCTGTAGAAACCATAAGAGACATATGATTGTGTATTCTTTTTTTCCTGGTGACCTTTTTCTGAATGACTGCACATTCATGATCCTATATCACAAATATTAAAATGATACATCAACATTATATCTAACAAAACAACTTTTTTTTATTCCTCTGCACCGGCGACAGTCAGAGCCGGTAGCATATTGTTTTCAGGTTGTCCGTCAGTCCGTCCCGTACTCGTGGACACGATATCTCAGTAACACTTTGATGGAACTTCTTCAAATTGACACAAACATTCACTAGGACTCAATGAGAACTGATTAGATTTTGGGGGTCAAAGGTCACGGGCATGGTGTCCTCAGAAAACACTTTTTAGCCGTTACTCAAGACTTCCCAGAAATTATGACAAAATTTCACACAAATGGTTCATATTTTCTCTGACTCTGGTTAAACACTCTGAAACTAGTCTGAGTGGTGGAGGGAGACAACCACGAGGAGATGATTCTAGTTTTAGTTATATGGCTTATAAAGGTATGTAAAAAAAACAAACAAAAAAAAACATGTTGGGCACAAACAGCCAGAGAGTGAAAGTAGATAAAAAACAGGGACTAGTTTATTATCACAGTCCTCATCATTAAAATGAGATATACGATGTATTTATGCAGTGAGGCTGCTGCAGCAGGGCAGGGTTGTTCATACACACTGTATCAGGACATTAAGCTGAACATGCAAAGTGTTCAGATCCATTCCAGGTCCTTTAAATAAAAATACTCCAGTATAAAAATACTTCAGTACAAGTACAAGCCCTGTATTCAAAATCTTGCTTCTGCTACTTCCCATGAAATGCAGCAGAGTAGAAGTATGAAGTAGGAGAAAATGCAAAGTACTGCACTGAAGTAAAGTATTTGAGTAAATGTTCTCAGCTACATTCCAGCTCTGTGCACCGAACTGTTGCAGAGCCTGAGTGGCCGTCATTGTTTTCACATGAGACTTTCTGCTCAGTGTCTCTCACAGAAATCCACTTGTCCTGCTGGAAACAAGAAGCTCTTTATCTGGAGGAAAAGCAGAAAAAAAAATGTAAACATGGAATATTAATATGGAATCAGCATATTATTTATTTTGGTCCCAAACCAGATCATACAATTTAGGTTGGAATTTTCTGATAATATGAGAAGAATATTCGTTTCTCCCGTTTATTTCTCTGTGCGGAGGAAATCCTCCGAACTGATTTCCAGCCAACACAGATTCAGATCGTTGTTGTGACCACCGCTGAGACAACACTGCCATCTAGAGCACATGGTTATCCACGTGTTAAAAAGTTAGGAAGGAAACTTAAAATTAATTTTGGGGGGGTACTATCATTCCAGTTGTATGACCTTATGTAAAAAGAAAAAAAAGATATGTGGACTGTAAATGAATAAGTTATTTTTTCACTGGTTAATGAATCCACCCATTCATCCATTTTCTGCTGTTCAAGAATTAATTAATAATATTATTAGCACTTAATGTTAACAGGAGAATCAGGAGTTTAATCTAAAATAATCCATCACAATGAATTTGTTGATGATCTTGTGAATTAATAAATTGAATCTATTCAAAGCTGCCAAATAAATGCAGGAGGGTAGAGAAATAAACATGTTCTATTACTTTTACTCCACTACATTACTAGTTACTTTTCTGATTTAAATATTACAGAATTAAATATATAATGACTTTAGAAAACATAATTCATTGTGAAGGATTAAACATTTTAAGCATGATTAGCAGATATTAATTGTGTACTTTATTTTTTTAATACTTTATTTACTTTATTTTTTTATTTTTATTAATTGTCACATTAGACAATAAGGCACAAAAGAAGTAGTATAACAGTAACAAAGACAAACAAACAGATATACAGCGGGATATATGCAAAATTTGACAGAAATACAATCAAAGTATATGTTTAAAGAAAATATATATATTCAAAATTGTATTAATATTTTACATTTGGAGCACAAATTGAAGGTTTTCACAGCTTTCCTATTACATGAGGTAGATAATGTTCTAATATAGGACTCTGCTTCCTTCTTAAAGATACAAAAACAGGGTTTTGTTTTTAGCAATCAAACTTTATCATCACTGACTTGACAGACATGGAGAATAGGTGTATGGCTATTAAAATAACAGTCTCACTTTTCCACTTGATTCCACTTGAAAACATCTAGACTTAATAACATGCATTTTTTTTTCACATATCACACAACTAAAGAGGTCAACTTCCATGTCTTTCAAATATAATATTGATATTGAAAAAGATGGAAAAACTACTGAAGTTCTAACTTTGTTTTCCTTCTTAAACGCTGTTATTGTCCTTTTTCTTTTAATACGTAACGCTTTTACGTTGCAGCTGCTGTGATGATGTTGAAGTGAGAGCAGCTGCAGGAGTCTGGACATGTGACCGTCCACACAGGAAGAAGAGTGAAGAAGTGAGTCAGAGATTCCTCTCAGTCCAAACAGCGGCAGCACCGCCACCACCATGCCGTGCTGCAATCTGCTCAGCCTGTGTCAGTACGACACCAACAAGCTGGTCCGGATCCAGAGCGTCCGGCTCGGCTCTCTCAAGTGGAGTCTGAACGCAGCCATTCTGCTGTTTATCTGGTGAGTGAGCTTGTCTCAGCCCCCGCATCTGTCTCTGCTACAGGCGCGGGGAGCGGCTGCACACCCCCGCTTCCCAATTATTGCATGTAACCGTAAATACACCGACCGAAAGTGAACAACTTCATGTGGATGTGGACCAAACTATCTTTGCACTATGCTTTAAAAATGTGATATTTTGTGCAGGAACCGCCCATAAGATACTCAATTGTTTCCTATTGTATTTTCAATAATTCCTAGTATTCCTATACAGTTGCCTAAAATACGAGGCTGTACTGTATGGAAGCCCAGTTCTGCCAATGTAATTAAAAAAAAAAACATTTTAAAATCAGAAACTTTCTCAACATTATGACTTAGTATATCAAAATAATAATAAACTTTATCAAAAATAATTACTTATTGTGTCAAAATAAAGACTTGGTATCTAAAAATAATGAGAAACATTATTAAAATAACTACTTATTATGTCAAAATAATGAGTTAGTATCTCAAGTGCAATGCATTCACTTGAGAAAAAAAATCTGCTGTTTTTCTGAATAAATGAGATCATATCAAATCTGGTGAATTCAGAAAAACAGCAGATTTTTTTCTTAAGTGAAATCATCACAGTTTGGTACAAAATAATTTTAAAAAATTACTTTCTATGTCAAAAAAATGAGTTTATCTCAAAAAAAGAGAAACTTTCTCAAATTAATAAGACACTTTTTCAAAATGAATGACTTAGTTTCTCATTGTTTCAGTGTCATGATTTCAAGAAAGTTTCACATTATTATGACTCGCACAATGTTTTTTGGTGGAAATGGACTTCCACATTTACCCACCAAACATTGTATTTTACTGTCTGTGGAAGAAACACTATTTGTATAGAACCTTAAAATGCAGCTGAAAATGTTTTATTTCAAATTGTGTGTGTGTGTATCTATTTATCTTTTATGAAATATTTAAAAATAATTAAAATAAAAGCTTTTCAAACCAGACATTAAAACAGAGTAAAACAGGTAGAATTATATATAAGTATAAGTTAACATAAGATTAAAAGAATGAAAAGAAGTTATGGTACGATGCCAAATGCCAAAAATTCTGTTATTGTAGCTTCTCCAGTGTGAGCATATGCTGCTTTTCTCTGTTTTAAATCAATATAAACTGAATATATTTTGGTTTTGGACAAAACAAGACATTATAAAGTTGTCAACAAGGATTCTGGGAAATTATGACACTATTTTTTAGACCAAATAATTAACTGATTAATCAGAACAATGGACTGCAGATGAACTGATAATGGAAAAAAGGTTTTAATTGCAGCCCTGAACCTGATTTTTTGCAGCTAAAAACAGAAAAATGGGTCTTAAATTTCCCATAATGCAACTTAATGGTGTCTTTCATGAGTTCCTGTCTGGTAAACACCCATTCCTTTAAAAGGCCATGCTTTCATTTAGTGATGAAGACCTAGCTGACTCGTCCTCCCCATGTACAAACAACCTGACCTTGATGTGTAAAATTGGACGAATTTCCTTTAAACTTTTTGGTTTTGGTTTTTATTTTGCAGCATCATGATGCTGTGGAACAGAAAGTACCAGGAGTTTGACCTGGTCGTGAGCTCCGTCACCACCAAGGTGAAGGGTGTAGCTCAGACCCGCCTGCCGGGAGTCGGGGACGTGGTCTGGGATGTGGTGGACTACAGCGGGCCCTCGCAGGTGGGAGCGGGTTCCTCTGGGTTCTGGGCTGTGAAGGTTCTTTACGTTTCTCAAAGAAGAGATTTTAAAGAGATTCTTCTTTTTTGTTTTTAGGACAAAAACTCCTTCTTTGTGGTGACCAATGTCATTGTGACAAAAAATCAGCAGCAGGGAAAATGCCCAGAGGTGCTTTCTCCTTATTATCCAACGGTCCAATGGTTCAGATGAAGAGTTAGCAAACCTTTCTTATGTTGCAGCAGTGTTTATGTTCCAGGCTCCTCGTAATGGCAGATTGTGTCGGACTGATAAGGACTGTGAGAAAGGAGCCTGGGACCAGCAGAGCCACGGTACAGTGACTTCTTTTATTAGACCTGGATCAGCACCAGGAAGCGCTCGTTAGCACCACCTGGTGTCCTTTAGCAAACACTGGATGATTCAGTTACATGGTTTTAAAATACATTTGGTTGGTTTTTGAAGAATAAGTCTGGTGATATTATATTCAAATAATTCAAATCCCATGAAAAAAACTAACAATGAGCATATCTTCTTACAAGTGTGTGTGTATCAGACTGTCATATATCCTACTCCTCTGAGCCACAGAGCTCCATTGTTGTTCAAACACTATTGAAAACACACCATTGAGCCACTGTTGCACTGGGTGACATGTTTCATCATCATGAACATCACACGACTGTAAGTTTAATCTTGACTCAGTCCCACACACGACCGTCCTGCTGCACAAAATACCAAATGTGGATCAATCCGCTGCTGAAAATAGTCCCTGACAAATGCTCTACAAACTGCAGTGTCCAGCTGTTTTTTAGAAAATTATTATATTTGTTAGCTCTTTTTTTTTTTCTTCCAAAATATCTTTATTTGCTTTTCAACATTAATACAAACAGCTGTAACATGACAAACAAACAAACAGTGGTGATGCGACAAACATCTGAAGAGAAAGAAGGAAATAAAGTAAATAATAAATAATAATTGCAATATTGAGGAAAAAAAAATACTATTCCACCTCATAACCCAAAAATATCAGTAAACCATTCTTCTTTCCTGCCGTCCGTCACTCCCTTGTTGGCTCCTTTTAAACACATATTGTCTTCAGTAGGAACCAATGGATGTAGAGCCGAGAGCCTCAGACAGGGGAGGGAGGTCGGACAGTATTTAGAGACGGACTAATGCAATTTTGGTTTTGGTGTTTTCATGGGATTTGTTGACAATAGGAAAATAAATAAGTTAACATATAGGAAATGCCAGCTTTATCCAAGAAGACAATTGTTTGAATTTGTGAAGTTTAAAAGGCCTGATAACACATTTCCTTAACTAGCCTCTCACTATGAGCCACGTCGTCCCACAAGAACTCCAAACTTTCTGCCCAAGCTACAAAGATTTGCTTATTTAGTCATTAATATTTAATATTGCAGAGAAATACTAGATGTTTTCAGGAACTATAAAGAACTTCATTACCCAGAAATCCTGACAACTGATGTCATCAAACCAGATTAGTTTTTAGTGTGTGTTGGAGCATCATTAGTGCATCTGGCTTTTCTGCACAAATCCTCTTCTTTCATCCAGTTTCTTTCACAAGTTTAGATTTTTCAGTTTCTGGGAGCAAAATATTTGGCACCGATGAAAACAAAGACTCCGTCATTTAATTTGAACAAACAAGGTGAAGCTGGAGCGTCACAGAAAATGAAGACAGGATATTAAACTGTCTGTTTGGGCTCGTCACCAGTTCACACCTGTTCCCACACGGAGCGGAGGAATGTGCCGTTGATGTGTTGCAGCTTCAGCTTCGGCCACTTGTAGTTCTCGGCTCTCGGCTAAATGAAAGAATTTGGGTCACGGCTGCTGCAGAAATCAAACCTGTGACTCTTCAGACTGCGTGTCTGTCCTCTGCAGGGATTCAGACGGGATCGTGTGTGAAGTTTGACGTGTTGAAGAAGACCTGCGAGGTTTCCGCCTGGTGTCCGATCGAAAGCAAGACGACCCCTCCGAGGTAAATTCGTATTATACAGGTTGTTGTATATGCACATTGTGATTGGAAGCTGCAGCAGCTCAGAGTGAACACTTGTCCAACACTTTAGACAGTTTATAGCTCTCATCATGACGGCGTGTGAACATGTTAACCTCCATCAAATGATTTAGGCAACAACACGACGTTTACTCAGACCAAACATTTGCAGACTGGAGGTAAACAGCTAAGAAAAGCAAAGCTGTCCCTTCATGTCTCATCCATCCAACATCAGTTTCCTGTTGTGTACTGATCACTGTAGCTTCGCTGCTGCTGCCGCTGCTGCTGCTGCTGCTGCTGCTGCTGCTGCCGCTGCTGCTGCAGACTTTTAGTTTTGTTCAGATGATGATATGATAACATGAAGAGTTTTCTCTGCTGCAGGCCTGCTCTGCTGGGAGCAGCGGAGAACTTCACAGTCCTCATCAAAAACAACATCCGATTCCCTGCATTCAACTTCTTCAGGTGAGACTGTTTTATGCTTGGAGGTGGGGCTGCAACACTAAGTTGATTAGAAAATTAATCACCTGAATATTCATTTAATTCATTTTCAAGCAGAGATGCCAAACGTTCCCTGGTTTCAATCAACATATTCATTGAATTTAACTGTTGTTTCACCAGTTTCATAACATTGTCATTGTGTTTTATTATAGTGTTCACAAGTTAAATATTTAGTACGTACAGTTGTACTTGATCATCCTGGAAGAAAAATCTTTGAGGGGTTTCATCTTTTTCAGGTGCCATCACTTCTCCTCACTGGGAGAGAAACTCTGACTCCCTGTGAGTCTGTCTTTTGTTTTGCAGAAGGAACATCCTCCCAAACATGAACGACGCCTACCTGAGGAGCTGTCAGAGAGGAAACGACTCGCTGTGTCCCATCTTCAGACTGGGAGACGTGGTTCGAGAGGCCGGGGAAAAGTTCTCTGTAATGGCCGTCGAGGTGAGACCACATGTTCAAATGTTCCTGCTGTGGAAGCTGAGTTCATTTTTACTACAGCGTGGATCTTATTGTGTCGTTCTGGGCCCGTGTGAGTCAAACTGTTCAAGGTTAAAATCTTGGATTAAAGTAAAACGCCTTCACTTTTACTCACAAACTTAAGAATAAAACCAATCAAACTTCTTTTGACTTGAGTCTCTTAAATGTGCGAGAGCTGCAGAGTCTGTTCCTCCATGACTGAAGCACAGAATCAGCTGATGTTTCCTGTCTGATATTAACACATCAGCTGAAGCAGTTTAAGTACAAAAGACTAATTTTAATCTTTTATTTGTATTTGAACATTTGACAGGATGTTACATCACTTTGTCCTTTTTCTTTTTTTTTGACATTTATGACGCAAACAAACATCAAGAGTAAATCTGACATTGGTTTAATTTACAATCAGTGTCTTGTTGTGTTACAATATGATCAGACTGATCAGATTTCCTATTATTTCATCCTTATTTTATATATTTTTAAATTATAAATGTATCAGATTGTTGTAGGTTGATCCTGGAAATATTTCACACAAATAAAATGAACTTGATGCTGATGAACTTGATAAAAATGTTGATTCTTGTCGAAAAACAACCCCCTGAATAAGAATCTGCAATGTGGCAGATGTAGGGTCGATCTATATCTCTGATTGGCTACTCCTTCTCTGATCTCTGAGAGTTGCTGACTTTTACACTTAAGAGGAAGTTATTCATAAATGTCTCATTGCTCCGACCCCGAGGTTGTTTTTAGACTCTCCTGTAGCTTCATTCTTACAAGTTTAATAAATATTGGCTCTGGTCATCGTTCCAATCAGCTGTGATAAGATTTTACTGAATAACTTTATTGTTGAAATCTCAGGAAGCTGCATCATTATAAGACCAGAGCAGTTTTTTCCACCCACTTTCTCTTTCTTTGGGTCAAGTAATCATCAAGTAAAGTGGAAATGAAACTGACCTGTCGACCAGAAGGAGGAAGTGTTCCCACTTCAGACTTTCGTGAGTTTGTGTGGATGAAAGTGGAGAGTCAGTGTTGTCTCAGTTTTGTTTCCATATTTAACGAGCTGATGTTTCTTCACTTCTCATCAAATCATTTTTGTTTGGTCCTTGGAATTTTATTTTCTTAAAAAACTCTATCTGTCACTGCAGTCCATGTCATGCAGTTCCACTGTCGTCCACAGGGTGGCGTCATCGGCATCCTGATCAAATGGGACTGTAACCTGGACCGGCTCATGCAGCGCTGCCTGCCCAGATACTCCTTCAGGCGGCTGGATGAGAAGGAGAGCAACAGGACGCTGTACCCCGGCCTCAACTTCAGGTCAGAGAGGGTCGCTGGGGTCAAAGGTCAAATTCAAAATCGCATACCTATTATCTATAGTATAATCAAAGGTCAAAACTGTCAGTTTGTGCCAGTTAATATATTAGAATTAGTATCTGAAAATGTTTCTGTCTCAATGACCTTGAATTTACACAAAAACTAGTAAAAATTTAACACTTCCCCAAAATGTTATGGACGTTAATTTCCACTCAGAATCAGTCCTCCAGTTTCAGTACATGTGTCAGATTTGAGGTAAATAAATCTGCTTCCTGTTAAAGGTTAAAGGTTAAAGGTCGTTCTGTGTGTCTTTTATTATTTCTCATATCCACTGTCTCTGATCAGATATGCAAAGTACAACACAGTGAACGGAGTGGAGGAGCGAACGCTGTACAAAGCATTCGGCATCAGGTTTGACGTCATGGTCTTTGGACAGGTGAGTACAGTCTCTCTGAGTTCTAGGGATTTGATTTTTATAGATATATTGTTGTCAGGGATTCTCTGTGTTTCTTACAGTTTCCATTTCATTTTATTCATTAGTTTTTTCTTTCATTTAACCCCCTAAAGTCCCGTTTCTTGAAGTAGTGTAAATATTTTCTTATTCCTCATTGACTGACAGTATCACATAGTCTTCATCTGCTTGTTCCAGCTAAAATGACTGATAACTGTCTTCAACCTGAGTCACGTCTGACCTCTGTGTTTCTAAACTGTGCAGCAAAAAAATGTGCAAATGAAAACAAACAAGTGACAGTTTGTGTTTTCCAGGCGGGAAGATTCAGCTTCATTCAGCTCATCATCTACATTGGATCAACGCTGTCATACTACGCTCTGGTGAGAGACCACACAGTGTGAGCTGCTGACACACACACACACACACACACACACACACACACACACACACACACACACGAGTCCATTCATGCATTTATCCTCCATTAGGACTGAACACAGTGGCAGTCAGTGTCCAGAGTGCCGTCTGTATCTGGACAAACTGAACGACTTTCACTCCAGAGAGAGCTGAATAAACTGAGTGATGTTAAGAGCTATGGCTGCAACAGAAACAAGTGCCCCACCCCCCACTAACTTAGAAGTCCTATAGGCAAAAATATAATTCTCACTGTGGTCTGTGGTGCAGATTGTCTCCACATATCACGTGATCAATGATGACAATGCATTTGTGCCATAACAAGGATGTTTCACCGGAGCTGCAGCAGCAGTCATTGGCTGAGAGCCTTGATATCAAGTTACTGAAAGTGAAGATGTACTTTCAAGATAAACAACATGACAAACATTAGAGAAAATGGAATTAACAATAGAGATCTGCACTTTTTAAAGGTCCCATCCAGTGTAAAGGTCTGTGTCCATGTGTAGTGTGATTATAGATCAGCTCTAGCTTCTATATTAATACTGTGAAAGTATCAAAGCCTCAGTCCACAGAGAAATGCACACAGCCTGTATTCAGAAACTGAGCCTTAAAACCAGCCGTCAGGACTTCTGGAACTTTGTGATGTCACAACAAAGCAGTCACCAAGCCCCGCCCACCTGGACCCACCATCCAAACCTTGCAGGATTTGGTTTCTCTGAGTGTTTTTACCTGAAATCTGCTATATTTTTATTGGATCACTCAGAAAACAGTCAGCCAATCAGAAGAGAGGCTCAGAGCCTCCTCTCTTCTGATTGGCTCACAGACCTGTTGTTACTAGAGCTCCAGAGAGAAGCCTGAGAGAGGAGATGTAAAACTACACTGAGATGGTTTTTGGTTCTTAAAACCACAAGTATATCTTCTGATGGATCAACACTTCAAATAAAACACAGAAGAAGAAGAAAATATGGACTTTTAAAGGGGAAGTTTGGGTCTTTATTGTTCATGTCAGTACATGTGACGTTTCCCTGGAGACGGCCTCTAGTGGCTATCAGAGGTTCTGCATCGTCTTCCGCTTCAGCTGTGATTGTGGAGGATGTGTGGCGCGTCTTGTGGATGAAGTGTGACGGTGTGTGTTCGTCTTTTCCTCCAGACGACCGTGTTGCTCGACTGGCTGATTGGAACCAGCTGTTACTCTGCAGAGGTCGGACAGAACTACTCCGAGAAGAAAGTGGAGCCGGTCCAGGACAAACAGAAGGTGACGAACGGTTTGATTTGACCCACAATGTGATGTCATATGTTCTGTAGCTGTGAACATGTTTCTAAATCGCTGTAATCAGCTCGTTTGTCTGACGGTGTGATGTGACGGTGTGTTGCAGTGTGTCCTCTGTGTTTCCTACGTCGATGAGAGCAACATTCGACTGGTGAAGAGATCGCTGAAAAAAAGTTTACAGGACGTCAAACCCATGTCTGTTCAGCCACGTAAGGTAAACCTGCTGCAGAGAGATCCACACAGACCTTTAACGAACGAAAGATAAAGAAATTAAGACTGAGTATCAATCTGTTGTTCCAACATATTAGCTTCAAATAAAGTGAAACCTTCTGCGTTGAAGCAACATGACTGATGAATTTCTGGTAACTTTATCTGAAACCAGATATGAAGTATTATTCTCGTTTTTCTATTCATCACATTTAAAGTGAAATAAGCTTGAAATGTTATTAATGACCACAGAGCAGCTCTTGGATAATTAATTTCATTGTCATTCATTGTCATAATAATAATAATAATAATAACTTACACATATATACTTTATTGCTGTGTTGCATTATTTTCTGGGTCTTGGTGAAAGAATGGGGAATAAAGTGATGAAGTGACACCTGGTGTAACGTTCAGTCTGAATTCAACCTCAGAGGTTTGAAACAACTGACAATTACTACAGAAAAACTTTCATTTTTGCAAAATACTGAAAAATGTACAGAACAGTGCAAAAGTTTTAGGCACTAAAAGTAAAGTTTTTATTTATCAGTTAACTTCATCCAAAGTCCTGTAAAGTGAAAAACTGAATCAGATCAGTATTTGCAGTGAAAGTGAAAAGTTAAAATCACAGCTTTGGTCATGTGGGTTTCAGCAACATGTTCTTGTCCCAACAGGAGGACAGGGGACACCTGAGAGCCGCTCTCTGTCTGCTACAGCCCGGTGTCGCTGCCGATCAGGACGCTCAGCCTCCTCTGGACCATAGACCCGACCCAAAGCCCAAACCTCACCGTCCGGCCTGGTGCAGGTGTGACTGCTGCACTCCCTCCTCTCTCCCGCAAGAGGAGCTGTGCTGCAGGCAGAGCGACGGCGCCTGCATCACCTCCTCCCCTCTGTTCGAACAGCTGGTGTTACGCCGCCCCCTGCTGGAGGCCGTCCTCCTGTACCGGCACCCTCTATCTCCCCCTGCCGATCGGGGCCAGACCACCGCCCTGCGTCACTGCGCCTACACACAGTACATCAGCTGGAGATTTGGAGACACATCCGACGGCACCCACCCGGCCATCCCCAGGTGCTGCGTGCAGAGAGTCAGGGAGGAGTACTCGAGTCCGGACGGACAGTACAGCGGCTTCAGGCCTGCCAGTATGGTGTCCATGGAGGCCTGCGCTAACGGAGAGCTGTGAGAGGAGGGTTTCCACATTACAGAGCAGGGACTCCCCCGCTCACTGACCTGCTAACAGTGTTTTTATGTTCGACCTTTCAAAGCCAAAATATGCAATAACTTCACTCACCTGGGTGGAAAATGAAGAGTCAGTCAGTTTTTGTCAGCTTGTGTTCAGTCGGAGGCAGGATGAAAGGATGAGTGGATGAAAGGATGAGTCAATAAATCTCTGCATTGTCTAAGATCATCCGTCAAGTCATTTGGCTGCTCAGTGTGAAGCTATTTTTCTCTCTCTTTAAGCAGCTTTTGGCCTTTTTATAGAGCAGAAATATCATTTTTAACATCACTGACAGAAGGAATGTGCTCACATCCGTCATATCATATGGAAACATGAAGAGTTTAGTTCAGTATGAGATAGAAAAGCAGCATTTAAAGAAAAAACTAGATTCACCTCCTCGTGGTTGTCTGCCTCCTCCACTCAGACTAGTTTCAGGTTACATCCCTGTTTATCCAGAGTCAGAGAAAATATGAACCATCTCTGTGACATTTTGTCATGATTGCTGTGAAGTCTTGAGCAATGGCTAAAAAGTGTTTTGTGAGGTGACCTTGACCTTTTGACCTTTGATCACCAAAATCTATTCAATTCGTCCTTGAGTCCAAGTGAATGTTTTTGTCAAATTTGAAGAAGGTCCATCATGGTTTTACTGAGATATCATGTCCACGAGAATGAGACGGACAACCTGAAAACAATATGGCTTCCGCTCTGACTGTCGCCGGCGCAGAAGAATAAAAACTTATTCAATCCCGGAACATGTCACATGGCAGCAAAGTGGCTGTTTTTACACTTTGGCTTCTGCACAGATTCATATAAGATGTTGATCCCTGAGCTTTAGAGGTGCTGGGTGGTGGGTTCATCACCTACAAACATAGCCAGACTAACTGTTTCCAGTCTTCATGCTAAGCTAAGCTAACCGCCTGCCAGCTGTAGCTGTAATATTAACCGTACAAATGTGACAGTGGAATCAATCAAATTCAAATATTTCCCAAAATGTGGAACTTGTCCTTTAATGCACAAGACTAACACTCTGATGTCACTGTTGCCAAGAAAAGATAATAAATCTCTCTCCTAAAATGTTGAACTATTCCTTTAAAACCATTTCTCATTGTTTGGCGGGTCTGCTTTGTGTCATCGTCTTTCCCATGATGCCGTGTGCACACTGTTTACTCATTTCTAACAGATGATGAATGGGGGGGGGGGTTGAACTCCACTGGATGGTGTCTGGTGTGAGATGGTGTTGGAGTTTCTGAGAAAAGAGAAAACTCTGCTAATGTTCCAAAATAAGTACAAAACATCTGCAGCTGAGATAAGAAGCTTCATTTGTCTGTGTGATATCAGCAGGAGGAGGAGGAGGTCACAGATCAACCATAACCCCTGCTGTATATGAAACAACCCACCTCTGTGTTACACTTCACACAATTATCTAAATGTGCTGAAAAGTCAGACAAATCAGACTAATTAGGAATTCATACATTTATCTTATAATAAAACAGCATCCTGCCGACTCCCAAACCCGGAGGCTGAAACATGAAACAGCAACACTGAATTAGCAACAACTGCACTTCCTCTAATGACCCCTAGAGTCCGGCTCCAACAGTGAGTCGATCCCCATAGACTCCCAAGTTAAAATGTCCAACTTTACAGCAGAAATAAACATGTTTACAGCCTGGTACCTCCTTCATGACACCTGTTTATATAACTCACCTGTTTACATTTTATTATGGCTTAACGTTATACATAATTGAGGGTGTGGCCTCTTTGAGTGACAGTTGGGGGGGCCCAACCTCTTTGAATATTTTTGGATTAGCTAGGATTTAGGGGCGGAGTCAGACACTGCCAAGATGGCGACGGCAGGCAGCTCACACTTAGCTTCAAAACTCCTCTTCTGAAACCTGTGGGTGACGTCACAGAGGCTACGTCCATCTTTATTTACAGACCATGACTGAAACAGATCTGTTTTCCTTTTACAGATGTAGGCAGATGTTTCGGCAATTTGCCAATTTTGGTGATTTTTGAAGTGAAAAGAATTTATTACTGGTGTCAAAAATACATAATTTCCCTCTGAAATGTAGTTGATGTATGTAATGTAAAATGAAAATTATGAAGTTCAGCACAATTACATCAATCATCAACTCTAAAATTGTGGGAATATGATCAAATGCAGCTGGTTTGTGGAGGACAGCTCTTGTGTTTTGATGAATATATTCTATATAAAACAAACAGCCCTACCCATCAGCCTTCACACAGTCCAACACTTCCTCTGTCAGATCCAGCACAATAATAGCTGGAGTAATATTAGCTGTTAGCACCCCAGTCCCATTCTTTAAGTGGCCTATTTGACATTTACAAGCACTTTCAACCTTTCACTTTCCCAACTCCAGACCATGACCATTGTTTTTAATAAATGGACCACTTTATGAAATAAGGGCTCTTTGTTAAACAACTCCAGGCCTGAAATAGCTCCTGGCGACTTGTTTGAGCAGCAGACATCCCTCTTTCCTCCCATTACTCATCCACTGACCCCCTCACTGCTGCTTTTGTTCTGTGGAGTTTGAACACTGTCGGCTAATCTGTTAGCATGTGTCTCTTTAATTTTATTTTATTTTGAAATTGGCCTGGGGTGAGGAATAACAGCGCGGTGGATGGGTTTCTGGTATATTAGATTATTCTATATTCTCCATGATCAAATACATTTTCAGGACGTGTGACTCGTGTGTGTTTTCTTTTCACGAACATCAGACTGAGTGTGTTTTTACAGCTAAGTCTAAATCATTTAGTGCTGTGTGAAGTGGGGTGAAGGCCATCGTGGACATGATCTGATGCACGCTGGCAGATGGGTTAATGGGTAAATGGATGTGCAGATGGATGGAAAGTGATGTACAGTGCAGAGATTAAACGGATGGGCGGATAGATCAGTCCGTGCAACTACAGCACAATAAAAACCTTAAATCGCCGTCACTGGACTGAACTTGTTTATCACAAAACCACACGTGAGCCTCAGGAGTCAAACAGTGGTTACACAGTCTGTACTGTTTGTGTGGTCGCTCTGCTCTGACGACGGTTTGAGTCGCACCAACGTTTCTCTGAGGCAGAAAAAAATCATCATTGGTTGAGTTTGAACTTGAGTGGGTGGAACCAGGCGGCCACAGAGTACAGGTTATTTTGATTTACGTGGCGCCCGTGGAACTCACAGGGGTGTTTTTCCATCACAATATGGAAGGTCAGGACCACCTTCTCAGTGTTAAAGGTTTAAATTATGACATTGTAGTTTTACAGGCTTGAAAATGTAAAATGATTGAGTATTTCTCAGTTAAAAAAAGAAAAGATAAACATCATTTAACTAGCAACAACTTTCTTGTTAATCACCTCATGACCTTTCAGATTTATCTTGGGTTTTCATGTTTGCATGTTGTATTAATGAAATTTGAAATATAATGTGTTAACCTGAGACTATAGAGGAGACGTAATACAAACAGCCTGCGTACTGAAAGCAGCCATTTAGCAGAGGAGCAGCAGCAGCTTCAGTCCTCCACCTGTATCTGAACAGGATTCATCTTGATACAGAACTGAATGATGATCTCAGATCCGGAGAAAATAAACTCAGCCGTGTTGTTTTTACATTACAGTTTTTGTTTTTCTTTGTACTAAAAAGACACCAGGTGTTAATCAGTGAGCTTTCGAATAAGACTAGCTGTTTCCCTCTGTTTCCAGTTGTTATGCTACGCTAAGCTAACCATTTGGAGCACAGACATGACAGTGGTATTAAACCTCTCATCTGTCTCTCAAAAAAGAAGCAAATAAACATGTTTCCCAAAGCTGCCCTAGAATGAACAGCAAACCCTAAATGTGTTTCTGCAGCCTGCAAAAAATATTAATAGAAAATAAAAGTTACCAGAACAAACTACAGAAGGTTCAGTAGGTCCCTCTTGTGCCACACTGTGATGTTTTAGTTATTTGTTTGACTTCAGCCCCCTGGTCTAAAATCAGTGATGCTACTGATAAAATTTATGAACTTACCAGCCATTTTCTCCATTTTTCCGCCAAAGGAAAAATGATACCCCCCCCCGGAGTCAACTGTACAAAACTGGACTCATGTTCCAAAGTCAACACACTGGAGACGGATACACATCGCCCCAACTAACAAAAACATTATAGAAGTGTAAGAATTAGTGGATCTATGAAAATATTAGAAAAGACAAATTTAACAAAAACAAAATTCATAATGTTCCTAAAAAGATGATTTTGAGGTGAGGCTGGAGAACTGCCTCTGTTATGATTTATAGAGACATAACAGTTCACCAGATCCATCAGGTTACTGCAAACAATGTGGAATGGAAATAATATACATCAGCTAACCCTAACCCTAACTAAATATATTTTCATTATAAGAATAGTAGAATATATTTTAAATGTGCAGTCAGTGTGGAGCATCGGTTCTGTGTGGCTTTGTTTACTCAGGGATTTAATGGACTGGATAATGTAGGAGAAACAGGCAAGTAGGCAGTTTGTTCCCTTTAGTCTGAACATGAGTTCAGTCTGAGGCCAGCACAGTGAGTGTGGAACATACAGTACATATACATTAGTTTAAGCAGCATGTTGTGTTTTATACGAGGGATTATTATTTTCATTATTGATTAATCTGCTGATTATTGTCTTTATTAATTGATTGAAAAAAGGTGGGAAAAGCAGTTACATTCACCCAGAACTCTTCTTCTGTCCAACCAACAGTCAAAAACTCTAAATTATTAGAAATAATAATAATAATTAATAATAAAGGAAAAGCAGCAAAGCCTCACATGTAAGGAGCTTCTTTTAAAAAAAAAAAAAAAAAATTATTATTATTTTATTTAAAAAAATTCAATTAATTTTCTGTAAATTGACTTCATCATTTGCTTTAACCGTATTTACTGTTGGGTAGTTTCATCTATAACAAAGCATCACATTTAATAAACTCTTTATATCTTTTGTCTGTAAAATTTTAATTTGTAAAGTAGGTGTAGTTGTTAAATAATTGTATGTGAGTAAAATGCGCAATATTTCCTTTTAAAATAGCGCGAAAAAAGAATACAGAAGTCCAACACAGTTATAAACCAGTAAAAATTACCGGATTGATGACGTTTTGTCGACCAATTTAAATTATTTCCGTTAGCTAAAGGTCAAAGGTCATCCAGGGGCAGAGGTGAGTCGTCATGTGACGAAGGTATCCTGGCCATGATCCTGGTAGGTTGACCGCGGTGAGGAAAATGGCGCAGCCGTTAAATAACTTGTTCGATAAAAAAACATCACCTTTCTGGACTTCACGGGTTCCGTATAAAAAAATTCAAACCAAATGACGAACGTTGGAAACGGAGGCGGGAAAAATA